TACTGCTTCCTGTGCGTGTGCTGAGCGCACGTGCCAACCCCACACTGCTGTTGTAACTCTGTCTCCTTCATTCTGCTCCTTCCATGGTCCTGGCTGGGTGAAGGCCCCACCCTGGGAAGACAGGGCCCCCGGATGTGGGACAGGCAGAAGCCAGTACAGCGGGAGGGCTCATCCCACCTTCACATTGTGACTGAAAGCAAAGCCCCCTTCCCTCCAGCGGTCCCCAGGGTAGCTGTCAGCATTTGTCCTGGAGCGAGGGCCCCTAGTCCACTCTCCCCACCCCCACCTGGACTGGGAGCCCTGCCTTCCCACCCCACCCTCACTCCATGTGGCCTGCAGGCCGCACTCTGGATGAAGACCCAGATGCCATCACGATCTTTGAGATGCTTGTGGAGAACAGAGGGCTGAACATAACAGAAATCATCATCCCTCCACACATTGGTAACGTGCAGGCCTTTGCTTCTTACCTTCCCTTGGTTCCATTCACTGGAGCTGCTTTGGTGTTGCTTTCGTCCTGTGACAGTGAGCACGTGAGCACCCTCCCCACACCTTGTCTCCTCCTGGTCGGCAGATGCCTGTGAGTTGCCCAAAGATTCTTAGTGTGCAAAGGGAGCAGCACAGAGACTGCCTAGGAACGAGGACCTGGGGACTGGCAGGTCTCGAAACTGTGGGAAGCCCGTTGAGCAGAGGCCAGCAACTGCTCTGAAGTCACCATTGACTGACTTTTTAATAAAAGTGATTTTTCCTACAAAGAGCAGTCTCCCCATGCTTCATTTGCTGAGCACCCAGCCCTTCTCACCCACTCCAGCGGCAGCAAGTGGGAGAGTCCTTCCAGGTTTTCCTGACAAAGATCAGTGTCTTTATTCTTACTGCCAATTAAATACAACATACCCAAGTGTGTCTTCATAACGAAAGATGCTTCTAAAGAATGACAGAAATAGCAGGCGCAGTGGCTCAAGCCTGTAATCCTTGCCACTTAGGAGGCAGAGCTTGGGAGGACTGTGGTTATGAGGCCAGCTCGGGCAAATAGTTTGCAAGACCCTACCTCAACCAGTAAAAAGCTAGGCAGGGTGAGGCATACCTGTCATCCTAGCTACACAGGAAGCATAAATAGGAGGCTCCAGGAGAGCCTGCATAAATGTAATACCCTCAAAAATAACCAAATAAAAAAAGAGAGGGCTGGGGGCATGGCTCAAGTGGTACAGCACCTGTCTAGCAAGCATAAGGCCTTGAATTCAAACCCCTATACTGCCAAAGAAAGAAAGAAAGAGAAGAGAGAGAGAAAGGGAGAGAGGAAGGAAGGAAGAAGGAAGGAAGGAAGGAAGGGAGGGAGGAAGGAAGGAAGGAAGGGAGGGAAGAAGGAAGGAAAGGTAGGAAGGAATAAAACCAGGCCCAGGCGAATAGTTCTTGAGACCCCATCTCCAAAATAACCAGAGCAAAATGGACTCCAGGTGTGGCTCAAATGGTAGAGTGCCTGCTTTGCAAGTGCAAAGCCCTGAGTTCAAACCCCTGTCCTCCCCCGCCAAAAGGACACTTTTAGGAAAGACATGGGAGAAAGCTTCAGATCTAAGGTGGCACACAAACTGTTAGATTAAAGAACTGATCAATTAGACTTCAACTAAATTAAAACCTTCTTGCTCTACAAAAAGACTCTTTGAAGAGAACGAAAAGACAAGCTGCAGACTGAGCAAATGTTTGCAAGCCATGCACACAGCAAAGGACTGATATCTGGAACACGTAAAGAACTCTCAGACTCAATAGTAGAAAATGGACAAAATACAGGAACAGACGTTTCTCAGGGAAGATGCACAGAGCGAAATAAACGCAGGCAAAAGTGCCCAACGCCGTTAGCCATCGTGGTAATGTGACCTGGAGCCACAGAGGATATCATTACACACTCAGAACTAAAACAAAAAGAAAAAGCAGGTGACTTCCCCAGCTGCTGGGAGGGAGCAGAGACACGGTCACTTGTCAGGACATGGAGGTAGTTTGGCAGGCTTTCCTCAAACTAAGCACGCAGCTGCCATTTCTGCGCACGGTTGTGCTCCTGGGTCTTTCTCCCTGAGGAATAAAGACCTATGTTCACACAAAAACCTGTGCACACGTGTTTACAGCACCTCTATGTGTAATGGCGGACAGTGGAAGCAACTCAGATGTCCTTCAGTAGGTGGATGGGGGACGGCTCGACTGGTGGCATGCACCTGTAATCCCAGCTTCTCAGGAGGTGTAGTTAGGAGGATCGAGGCCCAAGACTGGCCAAACGGAAAAGCACTAGACTCTATCTGAAAAAGTTAAACTAAAGCAAAAGGTTTGGGGGCGTGGCTCAAGGGGTAGAACACCTGCCTAGCTAGAGAGAGGCCCTAGTTCAAATCCAAGTACCACAACAAACAAACAAACCACAATGAGATACCACCAGAAGGCTATGAATAGTTGAAATTTCACAATTTTGTCACACTGCAGAAGTAAGGGTTTTTTTCTAACTGCCTTGGAAATCCCAGTCAAAGAAGGAGATCATTAGAGGTAGTCCAGTGTCCACGGGGAAGTGAAGACGCCACAGCTGAAGTACAGGACTCAGAAAGAGACCACGCCATGGCAGCCAGGCCACCAGGCTCCCAGATGCTATCACTTTGCAAAGAAGGATTTAACACAAACACTGAAGCTGGTCCCTAAGTTAGGGTTGGGTCTCAGCCACTTCCTGTGAGGCCATGGCTCTCCATGTCCTCAATATGGCCACTTGGTGGATGAACACGCCCTGGGAAAAACTGAAATGTTGATGGGGCAGTCAGTCCGGCTTTTCTCTTTGTGCCTCATGACCAGGAAAACTGGGTGTCAGATCAGACCCCGAACCCCAATGTCAGGACCACACACACTTTTATAAGCAAACCTTTCTGTGGCAGATACCCGCATCCCTGGGGCCCCAGAGGGTGTGTGATTGCTGAGGCTGGGTGCACTAAGGTGCTGCTGAAGCAACTTCAGTAACCATTGTTGTGAGATGCCACCCGGGGAGTCCAGATCAGGGAGGCTGAGAGGAGCTCACAGCAGGTGTCCCTGGAGTCCCCATGGGGACTCTCAGACATAGGAAAGGCCCATGATACAGCAAAGGGGACTCCATCTGAGGCCCCAGAGCCCACCTTGGCCATGGGAGGGACCACTCTGCTCCTGGGAGGATGGGCAGTTGGTAGGGACATCTGGTAACCCCCGGGGACTGGGCCCAAGATGAAGACATTCCCTGGAGCTGGGATCCTTGTGTCCTTCCTTGACAATGGGATCCAGAAGGGCAAGGCCACCCCCAGACACAAGGTGGGCAAAATGACCATGACAACCAGCAGAGCTACCTGATGGCTGACAGGCCACTGGGGGCATTCCAGAGGCAGCCATTACAGGGGGGCAACTCAGGGCGTGGCTGATCAGCCCAGAACACAGAGGCTGAACACAGGGGTGTTGACCTCCAACTTCACTGTCCTGTGTGATAAGGAAGGATGACAGAGAGAGAGAAGGACGCTGTGCACAAGCTTGCCCCCTTGAAAGTCTCTGTCCCTGCCCCGTTCCTGGACCCAGCCTGGCCATGGTCAGGGCCCTTCCTTTGTTGTCCAGAGCTGCCTGATCTGAACTTTAGCTCATGTTTCTCAGCCTCTTTCTCTCTTTGTGTGCTTTTTCTGCCCGCTGCTGGGGACTAGCCTTCTCTACCAGCCTGACCTTGGTGCAACTGGGGTCCCAGGAGGCATGGTGTCCCCAACCGCATACACACATGCATACACACATTACACTACATGATCTGAGAGGTTGTAGCTGCAGAGCCCCCCACTCCACGGGAAGCTGGAGTCAGATCCCCACGAGCCCAGCTGGAGTTCTCAGGGGGTATCATGGGGCACAGCAGGGCTTCCACTCAGGTCCCCCAAATGCCTTTACCTCATCTGAGGAAGGGAAATTTTCCTACAGCCTGGATACTGAGGTGAATCCAGGCTCCTTCACCAGCCTCCATATGAATGGCCCTGTGTCCTTCCTGAAGCATGTCACTCCGTGTTCTCAGTCCTCTGGAACCATAATCCTTTTAGTTTCACTGAGCAGCTTGGCTTCCGGACCAGCCCTGGGGCTGGGGCAGAGGGGGGTAGGGGTAGCCTCTGCTACAAACAGCTTTCATGGCCACGTGGGAGGGGCTCAGAGGGCTGATGCCTGAGGGGTGTCCTCCTTATCACTTGGCATTCCTTGTGTCTGGACTTCTGGCCTCTTCTGCCTCTCAGGGCCTTATAAGGCCAAGAGACCCTGGCATGGGGAGGGGGAGGGGACTCCAACTGGAGGTTGGCAGCAGGACCAGCCACCCAGACTCACCAGCTCTAAGCAGATGGCAGAGCCAGCCTCTGCTGCTCTGTGTCTGGCCACTATGTCTTAGTGACTCCAAGGTCCAGCCACCCAGAGGCCAACATTCACTGTGCAGACCCCAAAGCAAGGCAAACTTCTTGGGTCGGGTCTAGGACCCAGAGCCCTAGGCCCCATGGGCAAAAGCACAGGCCTCATGCCCCAGGGTTCTTCAGCTTGAGGGACAACGCCCCCTTCAGAGAGCAGGGAAAGCCAGAAGAGCACAAGGGGCCCCCACCCCAAGTGTCAGCAGTGCCGATACTTCAGGGCCCCTGAATCCCGCTTGGACCCTGGGAGGGACCAGGACGACAGCTCTCCAGGCATATCTACAAAGGCCACCTCTCAGTCCAGAAGCCAGTTCCATTGGCAGCCAGCCCTGGGGCCTGTGCCCCAACCTTTTCAGAGGAAACAGCATGTCACCCCAGGGGCACCCCGACCTTTCCAGTGGAAGAAACATGCGATGCCAGCCCCGATTGTCCTGGTTATGCAAACATGTTGGTTCCGGTGGGCGGTGCAGGGCAGAGGGACAGGCGATGGGGGTGCTGTTTTCTTTGGTCCGCCCTGGCTCTGGAGCAGTATATACGCGGCCAGACAGCGCCTCCATGCACCCGCGTCTGGCATGCTGCATCCCTGACAGCCACACCAGGAAGATGAAGCTGCTGCTCCTCAGCCTGTGTCTGGGCCTGGCCTGGGCCCTGCAGGACCAAAGCCAGGTGCCTGTGCAGCTGGGCTTCTGTCCTGAGCAGGTGGGCTCCTGGGGCCAGGGGGAAAGGCGGAAGGTACCATGTCCCCTGAGGCTTCTCTTGGACCCCGTCATCTCACAGTGTCCTGTAGCATCTCAGCAGGGGGACCAGGAAGGTGATGCCCTTCCAGAGGCCAGGGGTTCTGAGAGATTCCCCTCACTCCTCCAGATCCCCTTGAGTGTGGGCCACATGGGAGATCCACTGTGGCTGGCCAGACCCCAGGAGGACTCTGAGCCTGGGGCTCAGAGGGATAGGGTCTTTCGGCCAGCCCTCCCCACCATGTGTTCCATTGCACGTAGACCCAGAGGGCCTCTGGGTGGTACAGTTGCTCCCTCTGGCCAGGGGCTGGGGTGCAGGCACCACACCCACCCCACTGGCATTGCCCAGTGGCAATGAACACTCCATGCTTGCCAGTCTCGCTGGTGGGGACAGAGTCAGCAGCCCTGAGGCCATGGGCACATGGTAAGAAAGAGGTGGGGGCCGCACCCCACAGAGCTGTGGAGCACACCTGCTTCCTCGCACTGTGACCCACGCTCGCTCTGGGGAGGACGGCTCCCCAGGGCTGCGTGGTTAGGACAGAGCTTTGCTGCACAGGTGGCCGGGCCTTGGCAAACTATCAAGCTCGGCGCCACCAACCGCTCTGTTATTGAGGATGGAGGTGCCTACCTGTGCTTCATGACTGGCATCCAAATCCTGGCGAATGGCAACCTGAATGTCACCTACTTCCACAGGTGGGCTGCGGTGGCCTCCCTAGCATGCCTGGGTTTCTGTCCTGGCTCTGTGCAGTCACATCCCACCCTGCCTGCCCACCCCACTTTCCAGCTGCTCAAGGCTTGGTCCCTGGTGGGGCCCTGATGAGGTTTGGGCCTCTGGGCTGCTCCCTGGAGGGTGGGCAGCCTCTATAGTCCCACCTGAGTGAACTAGGTGGCCCTATGGGTCCCAGCTGCAGCTGGCATGATGCATATAAGCTGTTTTCCTGTTAGAAAAGACGGGAACTGCGTGAAGGAGTATTACATTGCAGAGAAGACAGACATCCCCGGCCGCTACACCTTTGAATGTGAGTAAAAGGGGCCTCTGCTGCCTCCTTGGCTGGGGGAGGGAAAGGGATAGTGGTGGCTCACATGGGGTTGGCATGAGATGGAGTGAGGAATTTCTGGAAGAAGCAGTAGGGGGCACAGGGGCAGAAATGGGGAGGTGATCCCACAAACCTGGCAACCACACCTTTTTAAATTCAAAATTCCACAATAGTAGCCCCCAAACTGGGACGCTACTGGTCTCTGTCCCCTAACCTCCTGCCTTGCCTTACAAATGCTCCTTTACATGTTGGAAACTTCTGTTCCCAAAGGGATATCCTACGTGGTACCCCTGAGTCCAGGTTGGGAAGGCCCTGCCTTGCTTCTCCCCACTGACCCCTGTGCTCCAACTTTCACCACTTTGTGGACAGATCAGCTCTGCACTGGGCCCTTAGGGAGGAGGTTCAGAAGAAAGGGCCCCACAGTTTGTGGGGAGCCCTGGGACCTCAGCATCCTTTTCTTGGTTTCAGGTCTCAGGAAGGGAGGGGAAGTCCAGTGAGGAGGAAGGGCCTGAGAATGTCCCCAGTTGTGACAAAGGGGTCCATGCCTGGGGCCCACTGGGAGTGGGGGAGCCAGGCACTATAGAGGCACCCAGTCCACAGGTGGGTTCAGCACTTGCTAAGCCAGGGCCTGGTGGACCAAGAAAGAGAGACAAAGACATAAGGAAACAAAGAGACAGTCAGAGAGAAAAGGAGATAGAGGAATGCAGAGAGGACAAGAGGAGAGAGAGAGAGAGAGAAAGAGAGAGAGAGAGAGAGAAGAGAGAGAGTGAGAGAGAAGAGACACAGAGAGATACCACACGGAGTCTGCGGTCTGCCTGGCAGGTTTGCACCCCTGGGCTCCAGTTGGCCAATATAGTCTGTGGGGAAAGGTGATGGGGTCTGGCTGAGCCGGCTGGGGCAGTGCGGGGTACTCTGGGAGCATGTGAATCACAGCAGGCTTTGTGACCATTCCATTTTTTGTCACAGACGAAGGCCAAATCTATCTGACTTTCGTGTTTGTTAGCAATATCGCTGCCATCATAGACTTGGAAAACCACAGCGAGAGTGGAATCCTCACTGTGGTTGAGCTCCATGGTAGGTATAGCAACTACTACCCGAGAAGGAAAGGAAGAACCTGTCTCTGAATGGTGCCAGGGAAAGGCAGGACCTGGGACCTTGAGGTGGAGGGGTGGGAGAGACAGGGGACCTCGAGGCTCAGGGCCAGAGCCTACCTCCCTCCACCTGGGACACCCATTCCTCCAGCAGTTGCTGAGGAACTACCAACCTGTTTTCAACCCTGGTGACTGCAGGCAGGACTTGGTTCGTGGACAAGCAGGGGCTGGAGGCTTACAGGGAGCACACATCCAGAAGAGGCATCCCTCAGAGGAACATCGTGAACCTGCTTGCTTCTCGTAAGCTGCCCTCCATAATCCTCAAAAATGGACACAAGTGCTGAGAGGGTGGCAGTGGGGTGGGGTGGGGGTTGTCGAGGGCTCAGCAGAGTTGGGGGACAGGAGGCAGGGAGAGCAGCCCTGGGTGGTGACCTCTGCTTCCTCTTTGATCTACAGCAAGATGTCCTTCCCTGGGGTTCTAGGTGAGTAGACACTGGCTATCTCTTTCCCTGCTGCTCTGGCAGGTGGCCTTCTTCAGGGACCTCCCCCCGCCCCCCGCCCTGCCACCAAGTGCAGACCCCATCCCCTGGCCAGGTACTCTAGGCTGTGCTTGCTCGGGATGCTGGGTCCCAGAGCCCAGACTGGGTTGGAAATCAGGTGGGCCAGGAGACCCCTGCTCTGCCCAGGTGCTTGGCCATTCTTCCAGAAGTCAGGCTCATGGCCACAGCTTCCAATACCTAGAGGTGTCCATGCATACGCCTCCTGGCTGCTCCCTGGTCAGTCACACTCTCACTCTGTGCTTTGCTCAGAACTCCTGTGCACTGAGTGCCCTCCCCTGGCTCTGCTGAGCAAAAGCAGCCTTTGCTCCTCCTGAGGGGCCCTTCTGTCTCGACCCCTGCATCTTGTGCAAGCTGCTCCCTCCCCCTGCATCCTGGCTTCCTAGGCAGCCCTGACCACCCCAAGCAGCAGGGCTGAGGCCTGTTGACCCTTGTCCACTTCAAAAGCTCAAGAATGTGGGGAGATCCCAAGTCCTTCAGACCTCCAGCCCTGGGAATCACAGCCTGAGGTAGAGGTAGGGGCTCAGGGCCTGGTGGTCTTGAGGGGGCCTGTAGGCCTGGTGGATGGGGGCTCAGAGCAAGGCCTTGAGGCTCCAGGGGTCTGAGAGCTTAGTTATCTTGCTCAGCTGCTGGGTGTGCAGAGCCTAGGGGACAGATCCATGGAAGGAAGGGGTAGGTCCCTTGGAGGAGGGGAAAGACACAAGGAAGCACCCCAGGACCCTGACCTTGGTGCCAAGTGCTTCCTTGTTATGGGGATATCCTGCTGGGCTGGAGATTGGCAGCAGAGCGTCTGGCTTCCCCAGGTCTCCACTGCACACCACGCCAGAGCCAGAGTTTCCTGTGGCCTCCATCTCTGGACAGCTTCTGACCTGTTTCCACACCCCCCAGGCAATAAATCAGTTCTGCATCTGCTCATTAACTCCAGCGTTTCTCATCTGTTCTTGGTCACGGCCTGCAGGGCTCCTTGACTCGGAGGAGGGGCTCCCTGTCAGGGAGAGGGTGGTGTGATGGGGAGAAGAGAGTCCCTATATTTCCATCCCTAGAAATGCAACTGCAGGTTTCTACCTGGCCCCTGAGAGAGTGGGACACAGGCAGGGTGCTCAGAGACAGAAATCTCAGACCCAGGACAATAGCTGGGCTCTGCAGGGCCTGCAGGGGGTGCTGGACCCCTGAGGTCCTTCCTGTCCAGTCCAGACCTAAGGAAGGACCCACCCATCCACATTATATGTCCTACCTGAGCAGGCCAAGTGGAGGTCAAGTGTCACGGTGGCGAAAGGAGAAGGGGAGAAGGCAAGATGCTGCTGACCAACCTAAGCCCTTGCCCGCCACCATTTCCCCTAGAGCCCTGAGCCCAGAGCCTGGCAAGCCAGCAGGTAGGGGTCAAAGCACCTGCAGGGTGGCTGAGGGACAGGCCCTGACTTCCGAGGCCTGAGTCACTGTGCCTGTGGCCAGGAGTGGGAGGCTGTACTCCTCCTTCCAATCTGGCCATAAACCAAAGCTGACCTTAAGGAGTCCCCTCTACCCTGGTGGGCCCAAGTGCTGTCTGACAGAAACCACTGGAAAGACTTTGCAAGTCAGGCCAGGCCCAGCTGTTCCTGCACTAGACCCCAAAGGCTGGGACTGGCACCTGCTGGGCAGGTGTACAAGGGAGTCCCAGAGCCTCAGGTCCCGGCTAGGCTGGCAGCTGCCACAGAAAAAAGGGAGGCAGAGACTGGAGATGAGGTGAGATCAGCAGAAGGAGGGGCACAGAGCAGGTGTCACGTTTAGGGACCAGCTGGCTACATCAAGGAGGAGAGACCAGACCCAGGGGTCTGCACTGAATCCTTAAGGCAAAGGAGGCACCCTAGAAAGTGGGTGAATGAAGACGGAATAGCTGTGGAGTGCAGAGGAGCAGAAGTAACAAGCAGAAATAGCCATGCTGGCTCAGTGCCTCGTATGCACCGAGTCCCAGCCTGAGGACCTGTCTGCATCTGGGGCAGGAGCCCTGTGGGCTGTTGGTGAGCAAGGATAGGAGCTTGTTCCTTGTATTCCTGCTCTGTCAGCCAGTGGGCAGGAGCACCCAGAGGATGGCAGGCCTGGGAAAAGGGGAGGAGCCCTGAGGAAAAAGCAGACAGACCCGCGTCCTCCTGTGTCCTCCTAGCATTCTCCCTTGGCTGCTGGCTTTGCCCTGGGCGGCCAGGACAGACTTGCAATGTGGTTAAGCTGCCCCGACAGCCGCACCACGTCTGCCTCACTTAGACACAGGGTGACACCTAGGCTGTGTCAATGCCAGGGGAAGGACTAGAATGTGCAGAGATGTGTAGACAGTAGGACAAGCCAGTGGCTGCTCAGGACAAGGGGCCACTGGAGGTTCCCAGAGACATGGCTCCTGGTGCCATGACACTGAAGAGGGCACAACTATTGCTGTTGGCCCTGGGCCTGGGACTGGCTAGTGCCCAGAAGACTCTGCAAGAGGTGCCAGTGCAGCCGGGCTTTGATGCATACAAGGTAGGTGTCCTAGCCAGCCATCCCGACCTGGCACTGAGATGAGGGCAAGGTACAGTGTCACACTGACAATGGCAGGGATGGCGGGCAGGAGTACACCCCAACCCCACCCTGTGAGGGCTCTGGTGGACACAGGGGCACCAGCAAGCTTTGGGGTCCCCCTGCCCTCTCCGTTACTGAAGCTGGTAGCCCAAAAGCCATCTCTGAGGCTGCAGTGCCTGAGCTGAGGGGCCCCTACTGGGGTGACATGAAGCTCGAGGACAGTCCCAGGGCCTTTTCCTGCCATCCCGGGGTCTCAGTGCCCATGGCTGGGTATAAGGACTGTGGAAGGTGCCAGGTCGAGAGGAACAGCTAGCGCAGCTCCAGAACATGGTGGTGGCTGTGGGGACTGCAGCTTGGAGCAGACTCAGAAGGAGCTGAGGGATGTGTGGGTGTGGCAGCGAGGATGGGAATGGGGAGAGTGGGAGGCATCCTGGGAGTGAGGAGGGAGGTAAATATTTCCAAGATGAAAGGAACCGTGGCTTATCCCTCATTTGAGACTAATTCAAGTTCATAATATATTGTGAAATTAGCCAGTGCATTCCCTGGGGATGTGCTCATCTGCAGGCCAGGCTTGGAGCTGATGCCAGCTGAGCCCTGGTACTGAGGCTGGAGGCAGAAGACTAGCCAGCCTCCCCTGTTCCTCTGGCAACACCCCTGCAGGTAGAGGGACGTTGGCTTACCATCCAGCTGGCCACCAGCCACACAGACCTGGTCTCACCCACTGACCCTCTGAGGCTCTCCCTCCACTCCACTTGGACCAGAGACAATGGGGACGTGGACTTCATGCTGTTCTGGAAGTGAGTGAGGGCCTCAGCCCCCTCATCACAGGCCCACGACCCTGAGAGGCAGCACCGGTGGTCAGAGCCAGAGGGACTTGGGCTGGGTTGGGGGCCTTGCAAGGTTTAGGCTCCAAGGGTTTAAGAGGAAGCCTGGCCTCAGAGCTGCATTGCCATCCAGCCTCTAAGCCAGCATTTTAATGTGCAGTCTTCATTATTCCCAAGAACCTTCACTGAGCGCCAGCTGTCCTCCACCTCCCTGACCACTCAGCAGCAGACCCACTCTGCCTTAGTGGAAGAAGGGAAGCCGGGAGGGTTTTATTTTCACCACCAGGGAAAGACGTCTACTGAGGAACCACACTGAGTTCAGTGACGCTATGACCCACATTCCAGCAACGCTTGTCTTGGACGCAGCTGCACAGCGGCTCTGTGGGCCCAGTGGTCAGTCAGCAAGAGTCTCCCAACCCCACCAGAGAACCTGCAGGCCCCAAGTTCGCTAATATAGTTAGGGGGGAATTAGCCGATACACGCCCTGGGAGCTGTGTCCAAGGAGCATGAGGGTAGGGCTGTGTCCATGTAGAGCTGGAGACAGGTAGGACAGGGTCCCCAACACCAAGACCCAAAGTTCAGAGCCAAGGACAAACTAGGTCCAATCTCCTCTGCTTCTTTACTCCTGTCCTGGGTCCCCAGCACCCACAGCCACCAGCCTCCTCCTTGGCTGCCTGACTCTGGTCAGGTGCTAGCGCAAGTCTGCCCCAAACCCAGGTTGCTGAGAGCCCCAGGGAGGACACCAAGGCTCCCAGCCAATGGTGCATCCAATGTTCCCCTGAACCAGCCATCACATCCTGGAGCAGAACGTCCAGGAGCCACAAGAAGGAGTAAGTTTACTTTTCTTTTCCCAGAGGAGAGAGGAGGTGCACAGGAATAAATGGCACCGTCCACCCAACTGGGCTGCAAGGCCAATACCAAGGCACCTGTGAGTATCTCTCCCCAAGCCTGGGAGTCCAGGCCTGTGCCAAAGTGGGCAAGGGCCAGTAGGGCACCCAGACGCCCTGCACTGGCCCTGACATGCAGGAGGAGCTGCTGGGCTCAGGGAGGCAACACACTCTCTTGATGGCATCGTGTCATCCACGGGCACAGGGATTCTGGGGCCTGACACAGAGGAAAGAGGCATCACATGTCACCTGGGGTCTTCCACAGTTGAAGGGGTCAGCATGCATGTCTGCTTGGTTAGCACTGACTACAGCAACCTCATTCTTTATGTACGTTTTGAGGACGACAAGGTCACCAACCTGTGGGTGCTGCTGGGTAAGTGACTGTCTTCAGGGTCCCCAGAAGGGAGGAAGGGGACTCTGCACACTCCCGGGTTTGAGCTGAGATTTGCTGACTGGGATGGGGTCTTTCATGCTCACTGTTCTGAGGGTATAGGTGGCTCAGAGCTGCTGTGGTCCCACCCCTCACTCACTCATTTGACTGATGGGCACT